CTGCAGCACTGCTAGCTGGGTTAAGAGGGAATTTCGTGCTCGAAAACCCTCGAGCGTGAAATTCCCTCTTCATTAACGCTTAGCAAACATGTAGTTGCATACACATTACACACCATTGAAGAGTTAACTGAGATATTAAATAGATCTCATTTTAACTGTAAATGGGACTTATTTATTATTATGAAATGCAGATGATACATATAGACTTGAATTAGTGTGTCAGTGCAACGAGAAATTATTCTTCCTCTAAACACCAAATATATAGCCTATAATATGACATCAAGCGCTGTGGCCGCCACACACACAGGCAGTGAGCGATGAGTCTATATTTAGCCGTCTGGAGTCCCTGATTCCAGCGTCTTTTGGCCGGTGAATGTAGGGAGGAGTTGTAGCGCTGCGTGACTGGCCCCATCACGTCAGCACAGCTCAGACTCAGCACATGTGCCGCTCCATATAAGAAGACTCCTGCAGCACTGCTAGCTGGGTTAAGAGGGAATTTCGTGCTCGAAAACCCTCGAGCGTGAAATTCCCTCTTAGTGTGGTTGAACTAAAGCAGGTCTACAAAGAAGAGTGCACCAAAATTCCCCCACAGCGGTGAAAAACTGAATTCCATTTTTCGGAAGCATTTGGTTGCAGTTATTGCTGCTAAATATTTTAAATTAAAGAGGGCAATGGGTAATAGGTGTTAAATATGGAAACCCATTTCTGCCACTAAGTAAAAAATAAAAAAGGTAATCGCAAGTTTATATCTCACAATTCTGACTTCGTAACTCTCAATAGCATGCTATAAAGAGATATAAACATGCAATTCTGAGAAAAAAGTCAGTTGCGATCTCAAGTCAGTCAATCTCGCAATTGTGACTTTATTTCTAAGAATTGCAAGTTTCTATCATGCGATTATGATTTTGTAACTCGTAATTGTGAGTTTATAGCACAATTGTGAGAAAAAAGACAGAATTAGAGTTTATATCTCGCAGTTGCGACTTTATTTCTAAGAATTGCAAGTTTTTATCATGCAATTATGATTTTGTAACTCGTAATTGTGAATTTATATCACAATTCTGAGAAAAAAAGATAGAATTGGAGTTAATTGCAACTAGGGCTATGCAATTAATCGAAAAAAACGGTTTCGATTTCGATTTTGGCCTCCAACGATTATAAAAATCGCGATATTTACGATTATTGCGCCTCATTCCGCCCCCTTTTCGTTCCTCCATAAAAGCCCAATTTCACGTGCAAATCAGTACAATCATGTAACGCGACTTTTGCAAAATGGGGCGTGCTTGATATATAGAAGTATATTTATTCATGTTTTTAAAAGCGTGAAAGAGAACTTGCGCTGCTCCTCAGGAAGATATATGCGCTCAGAGACGAAACAGAACACGGACATGTAAAGTCATCTTTTAGCTCAAGGTGCGCGCCTAAACCGTCAAATACACACAAAAAATGTGTCAAAATGTGGCGCTTAGTGATTATTCATGTATACCTTTGTCGGTCATGTAATAAATGAACGTAAAGAGTTGAGAATGAAAATACTCGTGTAACGGTAATCTTGTGTTTTGCCCACCATATACCTGTTTGCCCTCATCTGACCCATCCCTGGTGTATAACCACGTCTCTGTCTGTGTCTAATAAAGCTTTGCGAATGGATCCGCAAGTCTCACGTCTCGTCAGCCCCGTAACAGTCGGTCATGTGATAAATGAACGTAAAGAGTTGAGAATGAAAATACGCGTGTAACGGTAAATTGGATCCGTGCGGCTCTTAAAGTGACAGCGGGCTATTTTCCTGCTTAATATTAATCAAACAACAAAAGACAAATCCAAAATCACACACTGCTCTTGAGTGAAGGACTTTTGTAGCTTTAAAAAGAAACAAAAAAGTTCTTACAGTAAATACTATACTGTTTTATTTTACATTTGATTATTCATTTCTGTAGTAGGCTATAAACTGCTTGAGACTTGCATAAAAAAACATTAAAGCACAGTTTTTCATTTGTATCTTTTTATTCTATTATATTTGTCCTTTGCTATTTTTTTTACTGACAGTTTAAAGTCCCCATGAAATCAAAATTAAAGTTTTTTGGGTGTTAGTATCAATATGTTAGTCTTAAGGTTATCTGTAAGGCAGTGTGCTCCAAAACAGTGACAAAATTCGCATTTAGAAGATATAAGCATTCAAAGCTTGCAGTTCGTCACTTCCGCCAAAATGGCTCAACGATTTTTTTGACGTCACATCGTACTTCAGCTTCTCATCAAACTTTCTGTCCAATCAAATGCTCTCTAGAATCCGAAGCCCCGCCCCCTACACCATAAAATAGACGCTGAAGCCGGGGCTGAAATCGGTCACTTGTCCACAGATTTAGTATCTTCTGTACAGTGAATGTAGTGCACTATATAGGGGACAGGGAACGATTCAAACAGTGTAAATTTGCACCGCACACACACTCTGCTCCGGTCCAGAGACACGATAGCACGGAGCGGATCACATGCGCGAGTCGGCGCAGACCACAAAATGTATCGGAACTATTTGAATTCTACACAGAATGCTATATTTTATAGCAATATGGATGAGATTGTGGCTGGCATACCCTGTCAAATGTGGCTTTACGGAGCTCAACGGCTCTAGCCCAAGCTGTGATATAAACGAACGCTATTGGCTATTTTAAAAAGGGGCGGGGCTGCTTGATATGTCTCGCCCTGTCTTCCTGTTTCAGTTAAAATGACGTCAACACATAGAGTAACGCTGTTTCTAAGCATTTCAGGGGACCTTTAATTATTTTCAATAATTTTTAGGACTTTTTGTTTGTTTGTTTGAAATTCCGCTGGTCTCTACAATGTAGATGCAACGAGAAATTATTCTTCCTCTAAACACCAAATATATAGCCTATAATATGACATCAAGCGCTGTGGCCGCCACACACACAGGCAGTGAGCGATGAGTCTATATTTAGCCGTCTGGAGTCCCTGATTCCAGCGTCTTTTGGCCGGTGAATGTAGGGAGGAGTTGTAGCGCTGCGTGACTGGCCCCATCACGTCAGCACAGCTCAGACTCAGCACATGTGCCGCTCCATATAAGAAGACTCCTGCAGCACTGCTAGCTGGGTTAAGAGGGAATTTCGTGCTCGAAAACCCTCGAGCGTGAAATTCCCTCTTAGTGTGGTTGAACTAAAGCAGGTCTACAAAGAAGAGTGCACCAAAATTCCCCCACAGCGGTGAAAAACTGAATTCCATTTTTCGGAAGCATTTGGTTGCAGTTATTGCTGCTAAATATTTTAAATTAAAGAGGGCAATGGGTAATAGGTGTTAAATATGGAAACCCATTTCTGCCACTAAGTAAAAAATAAAAAAGGTAATCGCAAGTTTATATCTCACAATTCTGACTTCGTAACTCTCAATAGCATGCTATAAAGAGATATAAACATGCAATTCTGAGAAAAAAGTCAGTTGCGATCTCAAGTCAGTCAATCTCGCAATTGTGACTTTATTTCTAAGAATTGCAAGTTTCTATCATGCGATTATGATTTTGTAACTCGTAATTGTGAGTTTATAGCACAATTGTGAGAAAAAAGACAGAATTAGAGTTTATATCTCGCAGTTGCGACTTTATTTCTAAGAATTGCAAGTTTTTATCATGCAATTATGATTTTGTAACTCGTAATTGTGAATTTATATCACAATTCTGAGAAAAAAAGATAGAATTGGAGTTAATTGCAACTAGGGCTATGCAAGTCATATGGCCCCCTCATAATGGTGTTAAATAATGGTGATTACAATATTGGCCAAAATAATCGTGATTATGATTTTTGCCATAATCGAGCAGCCCTAATTGCGACTTTATTTCTCAGAATTGCACGTTTCTATCATGCAGTTATGCCTTTTAAGCTCTCAATCGTGTTTATATCTCACAATTTGGAGAAAAAAGTCAGTATTGCGAGAAGAAAGTCCGAATTGTGAGATAAAAAATCACAATTAAATTTTTTCTTTTTTATTCAGTGGCAGAAATGGGCTTATTTATGGGGAGCAATACGCTTTTTTTTTTTTTTTGCTTCAATATAAGCATAAAACTGTAAGCGTTTACTCAGTTTGCCTTTGTTTTTATATTGTATTTCATTTGAAGATCTATTTAGTATCAGAAAGGGGGCAAATACATTTTCACAGCGCTCTGCATTCTTGTGAAATAGCATTCTGGAATGGCTTTGTGGATCAGTTTGCTTGGTCCTAGGTATGCTCTAGAGACTGGTTGAGCCCCACTCCTAATTTCTATGACAACAAACAATAGATGTCCTATGGCTGTATGTAGTTGTGTATGTACATTTGACTGCATGTTATTGTGTAGGTGTATTTTTGGAAAGTGTCCAGGTCGCCATATGCGTCTACACACCTAGCTGACAGAATGAAAGCTAGAAGAGTTTCTCAGTGCATGCAGACAGCTGAGGCAGATTGCTCTCTCTCTCTCTCTCACACACACACACACACACACTCGTCTCCCAGGACAGATATGAGTTGAGGTGGTCATAAAGTCACACACTGTAAACTCTACGAGGCTCTGGGGTCCAAACCCAATATAAAGGTGGAGATTAAGCACGCTCGGCGGACAATGATGGTCTTTTTTTAATTAGGCATATTTTTAGACACAGTCTGATGGCAGGTATTGGCTCGTGTTTAGAGGAAGGCCAAACAGATGTTCAGAAACAGAATTATTTCAGCCGCCTGCCGTTGCTTGTGATATGAATTGGCGAGACTTCTGAGCGTGTGTGTCTGTGTGTGTGAGTGTGTGTGTGTTAATGACACGCTCTTCTCACTGCATGCGAGACAAATGAGCCAATAATTGTATTCTCAAGAGCTCCACACATCTTTCTTTGCTTTTTGTGCATATTTGATTTCTTAATTTGCTGAATTCAAAAACCAGGGCTGCTATATTTTCACTCTTCTTTCCAGCAAGGTGGCGTTTTATGTCTCAAGGCAGTTTTCATGCATCTTTTATATTCTTTTCTGTGTAGTTTGTGTGCTGTACACTCAGACTGTGGCGTACAGGGAGTGGAGAGAGGTATAGTATTTTCTGAATTTGTGTTTTCAGATCTGTATTTTTTATTTATGTTGCGTTTGTTCATGCTGGTAATATGCCTTTTATGCACTTTATTGTTTAGTTTGGCAGGACAGAAGTCATCGATAACACGCTGAATCCAGACTTTGTGCACAAATTCATGCTCGATTACTTCTTTGAAGAGAGACAAAATTTGCGCTTTGACCTGTAAGTACAATCAGCATGCAAAAATTATTTCATGTCTCTAAATGTCAAGTGGTGTAACCTCTAACTAAAATGCAGTAACATATCTTTAGCCTACATCTTTACTGAAAAAAGTGTAGGATTTACTTTGCAATTTTCCCTCATAAATGTCTAGTGAATTTCACAAATAATTACAAAGAAATGGTAAAAAATAACACATTGATTTGAACCTGAAATTTTGAAGTAGAATGACTGAAATGCTATTTGGTTCATTTTTTACAGTGTTGAATACATGTGAATGTACACATATTATTTTCAAATTTAAATGTATTTTTTCAATGTAAAAGGTGAAGTTTAAAAAAAAAATCAAAATAATAATAAACATTCAACCTGAATGAGTCTTGCATCTCATCTTGCCATAAAAAAATGACACAGGACCACAGGCCAATCGTCTTCTGAATGTTGGTTAGACAACACTGACTTATTTTTAAACTTTTTCAAAGAGTAATAATAATAATTTTACATGTCACCTCTTTCTTTTTAAGAATTAATAACATCACATGACACTTAAACAACTCTACACATCTACACCCCACAAACATGATCAAAATGAATTTGAATTCAGCAATTGCAAATCTGCCCATCATAGCAGAGGTGCATTTGTTCATTGTCTTTTTGTGTTTGTTTTGAAAAAAAAAACAATCGTTCAGAGACAAAAATCTGAGAGCCACATCATTCACTCGTGTGTCAATAATTGAAAACATGAGAACACAGATTTGCATATTTAATGATCTCTATGTTGACTGTAAACAATACAGAGACAACACATACAGAAGTGCTGTTTTCCCAAGGAACATGGGAGACCTTTAAATGCAGTTTTGTATGATTTCACACATACTCTGTCACACACACACACACACACACACAGCCTGCAGGGTTTTGGCTTGTTTCCGCTCAGTGAAGCACATTTTATACAGCAGTATCCCAGAAATTACATTTATGCATTATTCCCCTACATCACACACACACACTGCCGATCCTCCATTAGAGCAGCCCGCTCCATACGTACCACTACAAATCATCTAATTCTAATCTCTAATCTAGAGGCACATGATGCACATTATACATAAGTGTTTATTAACACGGGCTGAATAGAACATCAGTGACATGTGTGTGTGTGTGTGTGTGTGTGCGCGCGCGCGCGCACATGTGTGTGTCGGTCACTCATGTCATCGTCTCCCTGTCCTGATATTATCGTTTTCAGTATGTGACATTTTGATGGATATGTCACATCCATCTATGAGTGTGTGTGTGTGTGTGTGTGTGAACACCTGTCAGTATTACACCTGGTCCCTTCTCACCCAGATTGCTCTTTTGTGTTTCTCTGAGATCTGGAGCTGGATATATATATATATAAATTCTAACTTTAGAATCATCTATTTAGTAACCATGGAGATTTTAATTAGAAAATTTTCAGATCAAGACAAACCATATCATGGAGACCTGGGTGGTGTAAGCAAACAGCAGCTACACAGAACCCAATAGCAACCATTTAGAACACCTTTGCGACATCCTAGCAACCACCCAGAACACCCTAGCAACCAACGTGAAGTCTGTTTCCCAAAACATTGTGTGCCAACGCTGATCGCAAGTGCTGTCATTACCAGCAACGGTGGCTCTAACGAACATCCGCGAACAGTATCGCAAACTTGTGTGGTTGGAACTACAGCTCACGACCTGTAGCATACTAGCAGCCATCTAGCAACTGTTTAGAACAATCTAACAACCTTCCAGTGTTGTTCTTAGACGTTCAATTCTTGGAATGTTTTTATGGTGTTGGTGTACTTGAACATCCCAAAATGTTTTTGTCACCTTAAATCACATTCTAATCACAACAAGAAAACTGGGCATTTCAACTGTTTAGAAACAATTAACAAAAACAATTTTCCCACAATGTTTTTAGAACCTAAATGTTACCAGCAACCCCTCTGCAATGCACCAACCCCCTCAGAACACCGTAGCAACCACATACAGTAGCGGCACCCTGCAACCTACCCACAATGACCTCATTTAATAATAATTGACACATATGTAACCATAATTTATAAATTTGTTGGTGGCACAAATTTTCCAATGTACTGAACATAAATAATCCAAGATATAGCCAGCACAAGCCAAAACCAAACCCTTCAGATTGTGTTTTGTGGTAGATTTTTGGCTTAGAGTTACACACATACAACACTGCAGCACAAGCAAAGTAAAACATACTGACATGCTCTTATTGCCGAGGAGATTTGAACATGAATGTTCGGTCAGGTGAAAGTGTGTCTTGATCTTAGCGGTCTCTCCTGCGGTGGCTGGAAATATCTGCACATGTGCTGACGCTGCTCATTTTGCACAGCGGGACGAAGAAAAAGACAGACAGACTAAGAGAGAGACAGCCAAGAGTGTAGATTCATGCTGAGAGGAAAATAACATGTATCCCAACATGGCAGATTTTTCCTCAAACATGTAGGTTGTTGCCACCCACTGAGGTTTCATTTAAGCTGCCGGTGAACAGCAGGCTTGTGTTCATTCAGAATGTCACAAGAAAACAGAAGCACGGACATATTTTAGCTCCTAGAGTGAAAACAAGAAGCAATAACATGACTTAAAGGTAAAGTGTGCCTTTTTAAAGTGGTAAAATGCTTTCTTCTGTCCTACTTCACAAAGCCAGTTATAACAATTGAATACAGTGGGACTGTCTGGGAAACAGTCATTACCGGTGCTTGATAAGTGGTGAATATATAGTTATTCAAACATACATTAAACACTTTCTACATGTAATAACTTGAATACACCTATTCAAAATACAGAATATACAAAAATGCATGATTTTAAGAAAAAAAGAAGCATAAAGGTCCTCCCTAACACCATCCCAGAAACTAACCCTCAGTAGGGGCCAAGTAGATTGTATGAAAATGTATGACGAGATTTTTTGGAAATGTAAAACATTTATGAATAGTTACAATATGCCAACATGTAAAATAGTTTGAGATTGCCATGAGAGTGTGTAACAGTGAACACTAACTCCATGTTTCCTGATGATATCTCCCAAGGGTAACATGTACAGGGTGAAAAGCAATGGTCCTAATACTGAACCTTGTGGTACTCCTTACTGCACTTGTGATTGATTTGATTCCTCTTCATTCACTGCTACGAATAGATGGTGGTCACTATTTGAACCATGCTAATGCAATTCCAGTAATACCAACATCATTTTTTAGTCTATTCAAAATAATTTTGGTTGTCATAATCACTACGCTAGCGCCAACTCGCTTCCAAATGAGTGGGGAATTTTATGCCTTAGACCAGGGGTAGGCAAGTTCGGTCCTAGAGAGCCGTCCTGCAGAGTTCAGCTCCAACCCTGAAAAAAAAACTCACCTGCCTATAGCCTTAGTAATCCTGAAGACATTGATTAGCTTGTTCAGGTGTGTTTGATTAGGGTTGGAGCTGAACTCTGCAGGACTGCGGCTCTCTAGGACCGAACTTGCCTACCCCTGCCTTAGGGGAAAAAACCCTGAAAATATCTTGAGATTGTTTCAGACCTTATTTCAGGTATTTAACCATAAACCCATTCAAAAAATAATGGAACTGGAAGTGAAAAAATACTAACATGTTTCTAGATTTAAGGACCCATTCCTGCAGCACTTTATTTTGAGCCAGAGAAATTACACATCAATTCTACAAGCATTTCACTCAGCGTCATTCACAGAAATGTCCTTTTATTTCTAGGTATGACCTCGACTCAAAGAGTGAAAACCTGTCCAAACATGTAAGTGTTTTCCTGTTAATGTAAGGGTGATGGACACTGTGTGTGTGGGGGGGTTGATCTAGAAGACTTCTTATAGGTTTCACTTGTGTGTTTGTGGTCCTACAGTTGTTTGACCCTCATCACTGAGGGTTTTATCATGATTTAACAAAACGTTTTGTGGGGTTAGAACCATGGGTCACTCTATATCTCAGAATGCACCTGTGGGATTGATGTTCATAGTTGCTGGACACATTCAGTCTGATCAGCGCGCGCTCAGGAGAATGTCTGCCTTTTTCAGTCCTGCCTTTCCATCTGCAAAACCTTTTTGCCACACATTTTGCCCTCACACAGCCTATCAAGATCTGATCTAGAATAAGGTCTTGTTCTCATCCATGTTTTTCAGGCAATTTTATTTAATTTTTATTCATCCTACATTCACTAGAATTACTTTTAAAATGCATTCTAGACTCAAATGATCACATGCTCATGAAAATCTAATATGAAGTAAAGTAAACCATTTCAATACTTTTTTATTTGTATTTATTCAATAAAAATATAAATTTATTTATTTATTAAGTTTGTTTGGTTAAGACAGTGTGCGGAGCATGCTTGAAGTCCACCACAGAATGTTATCAAGTTAAAAAAATAAATAAATCAAAATATGCACTACAAATTCATTAATTATTACACATTTGCATGGTCTACAAGACATCTTAAAGGTTGACATCTAAAAAATGTATTGACATGGAAGATTGAACATGAACACCAAACATGAACTTTACATTGAAAATGAAATGTCCGTTTAAGTGTTCATTTGAACAAGCAAAATGTTCCCATCGGAGAACAAATACTAGCTCAAAGGCATGAAACATTCACAACCTGTTTAACTTCCATAATGTGACATATTTCTGATTGTGACTTGATTTTATCTGTTGGAATTTAATACATATTCCTGATCGTATTGCGAATTAATAATTTATGCACATTATTACAAACAAGAAGTGTGTTTCTTCAAAATTCTGCACCAAAACAACTTTTCTGCCAATTTAACTAAGCATTTCTAATATTTTAAATATAATATTAACCATTAATATACTATACATTTCATTATTTCATTTTGATTTCATGTTGACTTGAATGTGTACTGAGATCACAAGCAACTTATCTTGAACTCAAATGCCCCGAAATCATAAAGTGTGAATAATGCTTCCATTCCTGCCATCTGTGTGTGTTTACAGGACTTCCTGGGCCAGATGTACTGTACTCTCGGAGAGTTGGTGGGCTCTCAGGGTAGTCGTATGGAAAGATCGCTTGTGTAAGTGCTGCATTTGAGCTTCGTGCTTCTCTGAAACACAATGTGTAAAAAATATGATTTCAATTCTCACCTAACATGTTTTCATTTTGGGGTTATCTTTGTTTATATGGGCAGTTGAGTTCGATTTTACTGTACTCAAAAATGGACATATTGCTATTAATTTTTTCTGCATATACAGTGGGTACGGAAAGTATTCAGACCCCCTTAAGAATTATATGTACTACTAAATGTTCTAAATGACAAAATGTGTGGTGCAGCAAACCATCCTTAAAAATTTGTCAGAATTCAGACTTGTATGTTATGAGAAGGGAGAGCTATTACTATCAATTAAACTTGAAATAGTTGAAACTACTTTCATGTTCATTTAATCAGTCTTGCAGTGTGACGCCCCCAGAAAATAGAAATGTCAGGTTTAGTGAGCATTAAATAAGCTTTAGGCCCTGTCCACACGAACGCGGTTAAACCGCAGCTTTTTCTATGCGGTTAGGCCGTTCGTCCACACGCAAATGCAGCACCAGTTCACTGAAACCGAACATTTTTGAAAACGCCTGCCAAGGTGAAGATTTTCAAAAATTTTTGGCTTGTGACGTCAGAGCCTGCGCTGTTATCTCCACCTACTGGAGACTTTTTCAGTCTTCTGATTGGCCAACATAGCTTTATGGTTGAGATTATATCGCCACCTGTTGGCTTGGCATGCTCTTGACAGTGCTTCATAGCATGCGTTTGCATTTTCATGTGGACGGAGATTTTTTTTTAAATGGAAGAAGGAAAAACTACCCGTGTACGTGTGGACATGGTCTTAGTGGAACTGACTGTGTCGAAATTGCTGAATAGTATCAAAATCAAAACAACATATTTCAAATTGTATTATAATTAGTATGCTTTTTTCATGCACCTTTAAGTGAGTAATATTTGACTTATAGTAATTTGTCACATCACAAGACTTTTAAATATAACTAGTGAAGGCAAATGCAATCTAAAATATACTTACCCTTATATAAGTATATCAATTTTACCATTTTAAAAACTTGATGCTCACGCCTTTGTCTATTTGTCAATTGACCATGTATAAACATATATTTGGGCATCATGTTTCCCTGTATATAATGTGTGTATGGATGTTGTATGTTTGTGTGTGTGCTGTTGGCGACACATTGGGCGGTAATATGGAATGAGGAGTATTATATAACCAGAGCTGCCTGCACTCGTTCATTCACTCAGACCTCTCTGAACATTCATTTAGTCATGTACTGCAGCAAATAAATACATTTAGACGCGTTTACAGTGAAAGCGCAACACTGAATCGCTCTTGGAAATGCATATGAATTAATTTCATTTTTGAGCATGTGTCCGTTCCTGACAGCCACATTTACAGTGGCACATCTCTGTGTCCATTCCAAGCAGTTAAAGGGTTAGTTCACCCCAAAATCGAATAATTTACTCATTTACTCAGCCTCGTGTCATTCCAAATCCATCTTTGAAACACGAGTGAAGATATTTTTAATGATTCCTAAAGGGGTTTCTATTTATCGAGTAAAAGACATTGTAAAAGTAATCCTTAAAGTCTACTGAAGAAACACAATCACTTTACATGATGGACAGATTTAATTTAGCCTTTTATTCACATGCAGTATAAACCATGAACAACGCATACATAAAGCGCTTCAAATGTGCTAAACAGAAGCTCATTTGCGTTTTGAATATTAGCCAACATCTTATAGATTTGGAACAACAATGATGAAAAACATTCTCATTTTTGGATGAACTGTCTCTTTAAGATCACTGTTGAAAATGACCCTTCGCAGGGAGCTTGATTGACAGGAAGATCTGACCAATCATAACGCCGAATCTGCCATTTTGTCTGACAAACAAATCAGACAGGAGAGTAAATTAACTTAGGTGGACTTAAATTGGAAAAATTGTGTGTTGACGCAGTTGGAATAAAATACCTTCTGATGCTCATTCATGTTTATTTCATGCTTTAAGTAAATATGATAAATATAAAAAGCGACATTAATCTATTCTCCTGTCTGGTTTGCTTGTCAGACAAAAATGGCAGATTCAGCAATATGATTGGCCAGATCACCTGTCAATCAAACTCCCTGCATAGGGTCAATTAATATAGCTACTTAAAGTTGCGTAAAATAACTTCAAACAGCAACTTTTTTTAATTGCAACAATTATAATGTTTTCAAAAGTTTTTTATCGCTTAATTATTCATATTCAAATAATAAAGATTTATGTCTCCATAGGTTGTTTCGATGTAATTTAAATGTAGAAAATTCCCCTTAAATACTTTAAATGCATTCAATGTAATTATGTTAGCTTGTAGCATATAGCAACCCAGAAAATGTAGCCTATGCATAAATATGAGTGAAATTTGTAAACAAGTACATCAATGTGGTAAGCATTTTGTGTGCGCGTACAATATAAAAACAATCTGCCTATCGTGAGTCCCCGTAAACCACATATGCATGTGTGTTGTGTGGAGATTGAATGAAATATTACTTAGTAGTCCGGGTGATATGTGCAAAATTTGAGGTGATATGTTCACTTTTTCATAAAAGCATGAAACTTGGTACAGTTGTACAGGTTAGGGCCCTGAACATTTTCAGAAATGGAGCCATCACAAAACACCTCATGGTTGCCATGGTGACCATTTTACTTTCCGCCATAACCAAATTTTGTATTTTGTGTATATCTCCTGAACCAAACATGATAACACAGTAAAGGTGATGTCTACCCCTATGTTATGATGGTCAAGGATTGCAATGATATACAAAATACCATATACAAAAATATAAATTGTTCAGGTGAAGAGTTAATGGTGAAATCAGCAATGTGAGAAGGAAATAACAGTATCTGAGCATCATACTATCACAGCATTTACAAAAGTCCATATTATGGCTATTAATGTTTTTTCTTTATTTGATAATTAACTAATATTTTATTCAATAGTACAATAAAAGATTGCATTAATTAATTATTCATTTGTTACATTTATATAGCGCTTTTCTGGGTACTCAAGATGAATGTAGATGAAGATGAATCTTCTCAACCACCACCAATGTGCAGCATCTACCTGGATGATGCGACGGCAGCCATATTGCGCCAGAATGCCCACCACACACCAGCTTAACTAATATTTTATTCAATAGTACAATAAAAGATTGCATTAATTAATTATTCATTTGTTACATTTATATAGCGCTTTTCTGGGTACTCAAGATGAATGTAGATGAAGATGAATCTTCTCAACCACCACCAATGTGCAGCATCTACCTGGATGATGCGACGGCAGCCATATTGCGCCAGAATGCCCACCACACACCAGCTTAACTAATATTTTAAAAGATTGTTTTCGAGAATACAATCATTTATTTCAGCATTTATTTATTTTATTTATTAGCATTTATTTTTTTCAGATATAAAAAAATATAATCTCAAGTAAGTGTATGTTTCCTTACCTCTCAGGCAGAGTCAGGTAGGCGGTAGTGTGTTTCCAATACATTGTTGTTCTCTATCAACAATGCTCCAACATCAAATGCAGACGGCAACGCAATCTTGCTAAGCTACATCCTATCTGCACCTCTTCTGCTGCACTTCTATCATTTTCTGTGGGTCTCTGGAATTGTCAGTCAGCTGTCAGCAAACTTCATTCTGGCCATTGCTTCTCAGTGTACTCTTAGTATCTTGGGTTTGACGGAGACCTGGATTCGTCCAGAAGACTCCGCAACCCCTGCTGTTCTCACTAACAACTTCCCTTTCTCTCACACCCTCCGTCAGGTTGGAAGGGTACTGGTCTTCTCATTTCTAATAATTGGAAATACTCAACCCACTCTTCACTATGCAATAAAATTCTTTTGAGTTTCATGCTATTATGGTAACAGATCCTGTTAAACTCCATATTGTAATGATTTATCACCTTCCTGGTCAACTGGGCACCTTTATAGAGGAGCTGTATGGGCTGCTGTCCTCATTCTCTGTGGATGGCAGTCCACTTGTTGTCTTTAATTTCTTCGAAATCCATCTGGAGAAGCCTTACACTGCAGACCTCCACTTCCACTCCTAGCTTCATTGGATCTCAAATGGCTTACCACCACAAGCACTAACAAATCAGGCAACCAGCTTGACTTAATTTACACATGCAATTGTATCACTGACAACATTTGGTAAAACCTCTAGACATCTCTGCTCATTTCTTTATTACATTTAACCTACATATTACTACCTGTGTGCCACCAATTCCTCTACCAGTTACTTTTAGACAAAACCTATGCACCCTTTCACCCTTCCATCTTTCCTCTGTAGTGTCATCCTCTCTTCCCTCACCCACCCATTTCTCATCTCTGGATGTAAATACAGCAACTGACACTTTATGATCCACTTTAACTTCTTGTCAAGACAATATCTGTCTAGACAATCCCCCCTCACAATGTAAAACGCTTTGAGTACCTAGAAAAGCGCTATATAAATGTAATGAATTAATTATTATTAGACAGGCCAGTGCATACTACCCCTTCTAACCTAAAAAGTTGCCCCATGTATCATCATTTTTAGTATCCATGTAGTATCATCTCTATTTTTGCTGAGCAGTCTTTTGGGTGGCTCACCAATGTACTAGTTTTCTCAAATACAAAAAAATAAGTAGGCTTGACCTAATTTTTTGTGGGGAGAAGAATTTATTGAAGATGGTAGTGTAGCAGTTCTTCAATAGCGATGTTAGCATGTCTTCCTTACAACAATTTTACCCTTGTATGAATCCTAAAATTCTTGTATGAATCTCTTCTCCCAAAGTTCTGTCTGTGGGACATAATTTTATACCTGAAGACAAAAGGTCCAGAAACAATACTATTAGGACCTTGCCGCTGGAGATCCTGCAATCTACAAGACGTTCCTGAGGAATGCTGTTCCTTTGTTTTTCTAATGGAATGGACCATTTGGTTCACACCTTTATAGACACAGTTACATTATTTCACAGAATGACCAACTGAACATTAAAGGGGTCATATGATGCTGCTAAAAAGTTTGGTGTAATGAAATGTGTTTTTGCGGTTTAAGGTTAAAAACACATTATTTTCCACATACTGTACATAATTGTTTCTCCTCTATGCCCCGCCTTTCTGAAACAGAAAACCTGCCATTTTTACAAAGCTCATCGGTCTGAAAAAGCGAGGTGTGCTCTGATTGGCCGAATTCCTCAAGCGTGTGACAGAAATGTTACGTCCCTTACCATATTGTGATGCCTGCGGCAATCACATGTGTTGACCCCGGGCTGGACTCCGCTTCGTCCACGGTGAAAGGCGATTTCGAAGTTGAAGTATTTCCTCAGCGACCAGCACGGATCAGCTCCAGGCATGACGAAGCGATATCGTCCTCTTTTGGAAGGCCAAACAAAGTAGTTTCGCTTTCACACTGCCTTACGACATGGCGGCGGCGGCAATAATACTACAGCGAGAATAAAAGTTACGCCTTCTTTCTTTGCGTGAACATTTGGCCGACGTTATGCAAATCTTCCCACATAGTGACGTAGATATGTGGGGGGGCGTGTTAGAACGAGCCGTTTTAGATAGGTGTGGCTGACTCTTAACTTTTATAAAAGAAGGTGGATATTATAAAGAATATCTCTTTGGATTTGAGACTTTAGTCTTTGCAACTTTACAGATCTTCTTTATGCACCAAGAGCTTGTAACACTCCAAAGAGAAAGGAAAAATTTAAATCGTGTCATATGACCCCTTTAACCAATCAGGTTTCAGCACCGGCTATTAAACTGAGACTGCTTTGCTGTCGGTCACTGTAGCCCTGCAGATAGCGAAAGCTGATTCCAAATAATCAGTTCTTATTCTGCTGGATCTATCTGCCACTTTTGACACAATCATCAGATTGTGTCTGCCATCACTGGATCTGCACTCCACTGGTTTGAATCTTATCTCACAGGTAGGTGTTTCAGGCTGGCCTGGGGAGGAGAGGTATCCAAAGAACATCAACTGGCTACAGGGTTTCCTCTGGGATCAGTTCTTGGACCCCTCCTCTTCACCATATACACTGGGACCCATTATAGAAGCACATGGTTTCTCCTACCATTGCTATGCTGATGACACACAGCTCTATCATTCATTTCAACCAGACAATCCAACGGTAGCTGCATGGATCTCAGGCTGCCTGGCAAACATCACGGCATGGATAAAGGGACATCACCTGCAGCTCAACCTGGCAAAGACTGAGCTTCTTGTTTTCCCTGCCACTTCGACTCTACAGCATGATTTCATCATCCTGCTAGGTTCATCAAAAAAGATTATTTGGTGACCAGCTGACCTTCAAGGACCATATTGTAAAGACAGTGCGATCATGCAGGTTTGCATTGCACAACATCAAGAGGATCAGGTCCTTCCAAACAGAGCATGCTGCACAACTTCTTGCCCAGGCCCTTCTCATTTCTAGACCGGACTATTGCAATGCTCTTCTAGCTGGACTTCCGTCATCATGCACAATCAAACCTCAACAAATGTTTTAGAATGCAGCGGCACGAATACTCTTCCATGAGCCCAAAAGGGCCCACTTCACACCTCTTTTTATCCCCCTGCACTGGCTACCGGTTGCAGCTCGCATCAAGTTCAAGACATTGATGTTTGCGTACAGAACAGCCACATGCTCAGCACCCTCCTACTTGCTCCTCACTCTTACGAATCTACATCCCCTCAAGAAGCCTGAGATCTGTAAGTAAGCAATGCCTTGTGGTAACATCACAGAGACGCATTTTCATTCACTTTTCCTGGCTGGTGAAATGATCTTCCCACAATCGCAGTAATTAACAGAACACCCAACACGTTTTCTGACAGCAACACTAATTTATTCCCATACCTGACCCATTTGACATAAAAACTGGAACCCGAACCGCACCTGCATTAAATCTCCTACATGAGGTAGACAAAACTCATTTATTAAATATTTTATTCAAATTGTGAATAGATTAAATACAGAAAGCAAGCAAAGAGCGCTTCCTTTAATATAATCACTACAGCTGTCAATCAGTGGCAGCGCGATATGCTACATTGCTCAGCGTGTACTGGACAGAGTCAAAATAGTATTGGTTATTGGACCCGCAACCCACCCGTGCTTGTCACCGTCCGGCCCGCACCCACATCACACCCTACACATAAATATTATTCCACCCGTTACATCAAATATTACGATTCACCTGCATGTACCCGCCCGCATGCAGGACTCTGGCTTCCACCTCATAAACAACATAATAGACAACCCTGGCCCCAGAGAGTGATTGCAAATTAAGTTAACTGTTCACCTGATTGCGATGCCATCTGCATGTGATGTTAGAGCGTTGTTGAGAGAGAACAAGAATGTATTGGAAACACACTATCGCCTACCTGACTGCCTGAGAGGCAAGGAAAAATACACTTACCTGAGATATTTTTTTTATATCTCTGAAATATATGATAGTATTCTTGAAAACAATCTTTTAATGTATTATTGAATACAATATTAGCTAATTATCAAAGAAAGAAAAAATTAATAACCATAATATGGACTTTTGTAAATGCTGTAATACTTTGATGCTTAGATACTATGATTTCCTTCTCACATTGCTGATTTCACCATTAACTCTTCACCTGAACAGTTTATGTTTTTGTATATGGTATCATTGTAATCCTTGACCATCAAAACATAGGGGTAGACATCACCTTTTCTGTATTATCATGCTATGCCACAAAATACATAATTTGGTTATTGCGGAAAGTAAAATGGTCGCCATTGCAACCACGTGGTGTTTTTGCGATGGCTCCATTTCTGAAAATGTTTAGGGCCGCAAACTATACAAGTGTACCAAGTCTCTCTCTTTATTTTTTATTGTAAGTAATTCCTGGTAGACACCTGAACATTTCAGGTTAATTTAGGAGAGTGCCTCAGAGGACATGTGTAGATCCAGAGCAGATTAAAGACATGTCTTCAGTTAGCAGGGATCTGCTTCTCTAACCTCTATAACATAACCCACAACTACTTAGTGGAATTGAAACAAGCACTCAAGGCAGCGCGTAAGTAAGGCAGAAGTTTGTTCTCTCATCAAATCATCTTCAAAATCTTTCATCATTCATCTTTGTCAGGCACTTGTGCAGGATGCTGAAGTGTTGGGTCCATACAATTTAAATTCAATTCCGGCTTGGGCTTCTTGAGTGTAGTCTTATATAAGAGCACAGCACACACTCATGCATTCGCCTGTCTGCTTCTACAAACACTCATTTATTTATGCAGCACAGATACATGCATTCATAACTGTTGAAAGGGGACAATCACTTATTAATATTCACTCATTCACACAGCACGGGCTGGACATATGCATTTGCTTAACATGGTCAGCATATTTACTCATTACTCTTTTAACAAGCACTTTCGTCCAAAGCAGAGTTCTGTTGTTAAGTTCACTTAAACGGGATCAGTCCTCCTGGAGTAGGGTAAGGTTAAGTGTCAAGGATGTCCTTTCTAGAATTGTTCTGTTGTGTGTTCCTGAAGTGCTAGTTGTCAAGAACAATATTGTCTCTGCTACTTTAGTAACACACAATGTTCCTTCTGACTTTAGAGGCATTCCTGGGAAGAACTGTGGAACTATTATTGTGAAAGCTGAAGAACTTGGAAATTGCAGGGTACTTTGACTTATCATCTATTCTTGTATTTTCTCTTCTCTCCTGGTCTCATCTTACCTCTTGTCTCTTTTTATCTCATCTCTTCTCCCCTCTTCTCTCATCTCCATGTGTAATGTTGTTTTGTCTCTTGTTGTATGATCTGTTGTTTTTTTCTTTTCTCATTTGTCTTGTCTCTTCTTGTCTCATTTATTCTCTTCACGTTTTGTGTTGTCTCATGTATAGTGTTCCTGTCTCATGTTTAACCCTCTACCGCATGGTGTAGCCATATGGCAACATACTCTTTGTGTTCATTTCCTTGCCACTGTCTCTTTAAGAGAACGTTCTCGTTTTTTTTGTTGGAAAGAGAAGACCTTAGTTTAGCCAATGATGTGCTTTGATTAAGTCATATGACATGCAGTTTTTTTCTGTGGCGAGATTTCTGACAGACTGCCGTCTTTTGTCGGTAGTTGCTAAAAGCAAACTAAAACGTCAGTAACAAACAAGGACCAGTCCATGTCACTTCTACAAAAAAATCTAAAACACTGTTATGATGTTATGATGACATATTCACCTCTCAAAAAAGTTTTTATAAAATTTGTTTTTGGTAAATCATTCAAATGTATGTGTTGCCAAGCGGCAACACTGTGCAATAGTGGAATGACATTATTACAATAGTTTAGCTAGCTAGCAAGGTCAGCTGCACTCTGTTAAGCTGTAACAATAACAACATTAATACTAGTGAAATAATGTTGATTAGTCGTATGTTAATGGTATTTGTATTATGGATATAATCAAATTGAAATGGCAATTTTACTTTTGATTAAATATGAATACAGGTAGCATTACATCAGTGAGCACGGCCATATTCTATGGCAAGGTAAAGAAGAAAAGGGCAGAACTTGCTCTTCCTGCACATGAAAAAACTGCTTTGTGAAGTTTCATACATAAAAAAGGTGATCTTTCAAGGATTATT